TAATTAATGTAAAATTACTATGATTTGACTTTTTTTTTTTTTTTTTTTTTTTGGTATTCAATAAAATAATTTCATGCTTATATATTTAAAATTGGGTGAAGAAATTAGTTAACCAGGGTTTACGACAAAGTTGACCATAAGTTAGGGTTAGGGTTAGGGTTAGGGTTAGGGTTTAGTTCAAAGCCTAAAAGAAAAAGTTAAAAGGAAAAGTGGACTCTTTATCCCACCCTTGGACACCCATTTTCAATTTCTCTTTCCTCTTTTTCTCTCCCTTCAAAAAAATAAAAAATAAAAAAAAATAAAAAAAATAATCAAAAGTTGACTCTAACCTAATTGATGAATCCGCTACCATATAATTTTCCATTCATGTTTAATCCAAAGTTTCAAACTTTATAACAACCCAACTGTGTTAATTTAATTTAAGATTAAATTAGAGTTTTTAAATTTTTAATTTTAAGTCGAGTAAATCTTAATCAATAATTAGGTTCTAAAATCAAGAACCATGTCTTTTATATATATTTGTCATGGAATCTAATAATTCAAACACAAATTTAATCTTTTTTTTTAAAAAAAAATTGTCATTTAATGGCAATGTCTATATTTGAGGGTGTAATCCATTTGTTGAGAATAAGACAAAAATTTAAAAATAAATTGTTTATGTGCTATTTGATGCATCCAACCAATGGGATTTTAAATATAAATAAATAAATGTTTAATGAGTATAATTAATTATTTATTTGTGTGCAAGTTGCATTAAAACAAATCCAACTAGGGTTTGACCAATCAATATTCATTGCTTTTGCTTCAATTTTGTTTGGATTCATGGAGCTTATCGACATCCATTCAACTCCAAACAAAATTAAGTTAATTAGGAGCCTATTAATAATCCTTGTATTAATCCCAATTTAACCATTTGGTTAATGCATTAATCATCTTTTAAAAAATAAATAATATTTGATTTTAATTGAATTAAATACTTGTCAAAACATTATACTATACTCACGTTAGATTGCATTATATATATAAATAACGGAAATATAAAGCTAAATTCATGAATGGCATGTGTACAACCTTATTTCTTAGTATTAAGTGTAAATTTAATTACATTTTCCCCTCTAATCAAAGACTAATTTGAACCACTAAACAAACTTTGGCACAGATTCTTTTTCAGATAAGATTTTGTTTGCAGCAACCAACATTTATATTATAAAACTAATTATTAAATAAGCATTGGCTAGGGTTTTGCAACTTGTCAAAATCTAATAATGCCTACCTCAACATTCAAGCTGCAAAATATATTATTTTTTATTTAGGTGGGAAAAAAAAAACATATACATATCTATGTATCCTCGTACTAAATATTAATTTATAACCCTATGTTTTTTCTTTTAATTTAAACGAATTATAATAAATGTACACTTCTATTTATAATAACAAACCTTAGAACTTGTAATTTAATTTACATATATCAATTTGGGAGCATGAGGCATGTAGTGTAAGTGGAGCATCCCACCATTGTTCATATTTTTAGTATTTTAATGATATCCGTTGATCCCGTTTCTCTATTATTGTCGTATTCGTTATTTTCCACCTTTCATCACCTACTTTAAGTAGAGAAAGGGACGTTCTTTTTCGTGCAACTTTTAATAATTTAAGTGAGATGTATACACAATATGAACTCATAAAGCATGATAAATATACGTTTTTATTATATAAAAAAAATGCAAGTGGAGAGAGGTAGTGGGTTAAATGAATTGTCAAAACTGAAAAGAAAGGAAATTGTTTAGGTTTTGAGCATTGACTCCCAAATTAAATTAAATTAATAATAAAGAGATTAATTTGGCTTTTTTTTAAATAATGAACACCACACCAAAGCGTGAGGAGGAAGAAGGTGAGTGACATTCACGTGCAAATCCAGGTCACCACAGCCCCGAGAGTGGCAACCTATGGTTGTCGGCCACGAGGTGCCTGTCATTTTCCATTGGGAACCGCTCCGTTTCTCTAATTCTTCTCCTTAAATTCCGGGTGGTCCTCCAAAATCCATTCATTTCCTACTACCACGCTCTTTTCAAACCGCGTGAGCTTCAAACTCCCAAAAATTTCATCTTTTTTTTTCTTTTTTTTTTATTTACTTTTTTCAATAAAAATGAAATTCTTTGGGTATACTTATCTCCAACCCTAATCATAATATATATATATTTTTAAATCGTCCAGTGATAACGATAAATACAAGGCATCTAAATATTATTTTATTATCTAATTTATTATATTTAAACAGTATGACATGTGGTATCATTATTTAATTTTATCTGTTTATATCTATATATTTTTTAAAGATCAAACACTTAATTCGATAGCCATATGTAAGTGAATACACATATTTTTAAAAAAATTTAAAAGATAAAATTAATGATTTCAATAAAATATGCTATCCGAACCATTAGAAGAATAAAATGAAATGTCCAACTTTTGATTTAGGCGTCTATTTTTAAGTGAAAGGGAAGAAAAGAGGGAAAAGCAAGATGTCATTATTCTCGAGAAGAGAATGCACATAACAACACTTGTTCTTGTTTCACCAACAATAAGAATAACAACAAACTTAGCCTATTTAAAACATTGTCTATTATATGTATAAAGTCATCACAAATTACAAAAGTCAACGATGCCAGATAAATTCATATAATCGAGTCACATACCCATTGCGCTCTAATATTATAATAATCTCTATTTTTTTTTTAATTAAAAAAAGAAGATAAAGTTAATAATGATAGCTCGTGACTCTTAATCATTAGAAGACATAGTATCTATAATTAAACATTTCTTAATATATTAAGGAAGTTATTGGTGGGCTTTTGTTTCACCAAATAACGGCCCAATTTGTTGGCAGACTGCAGTTTAGATGGGCTTCCATGTTTTCTGATTGGGCCAATTCATGGGGTTTGATTCGGCCCATAATGAGCAAGTCATGGTTCATGGGCCACAACTTGAGGTGAAAGTGAAACCCATTATAGAGCCTGATCCAAACGCCGTGTAATTAAGAAATAATGAAAGATTAAATTTATAATTAAACAATTATTTTGGAGTGTTTAAAGTAACACTTGATCATAGTTTCAAAATAAAATTTCGAACAACACGAACCAACCGAACTTATGGGTCGAACGGAGAGAAACTGAGAAACGTTGAAGATTAAAAAGAAATATGGCCCCCATAAAATCATATGATAAGATTTTTTTTGTTCACCTAACATTTCATCGAAATGAATTTTTGTTCATTTCATTTAGCACTTTTAAGTTGTCATTGTCAACCTCCTCCACCCCTTTCCCCTGTTTAAATTTCAACCACATCAATTTTCCTTTTCCCTTTTCCTCGGTCCCCGCTATGTCCAAACTCGAACTAACTCAATAATCCTTACATATATATATCTTAGCCACTACTACTAGCTGATATTGTCTACTTTGATCGGTTACATATCGCCATCAATCGCACAGTTTTAAAACACATCTATTAAGGAGGAGTTTCTACACTCTTACGAGAAATACTTCATTCCCCTTGAATTGTTGAATTGTGGGTATTAATTTGGGATTATTAATGAATTGAAAACCTTGCTGCGAATCCAACTAGAAAACTTAAGGTAGCGTAAGAAGATCTTAGTTATATTGTGGTGGCATTCAACACAAGACGGCAGAAACAAGGGTTGTCTCTTTAAGACAACAAACACTAAGATTGTCATTTGTGTTTGGTTTTTTTCCATTTGAAGATGAGCTTTACCATGTGTTTTGAAAGCATGTCAGATTCAGAAATGGATTGATTAAGGAGGCGAAGAAGCCAAAGAACAAAAAAAGTTTAAATTTTTGGATGAATTTGGATGTTTGGGGTTGATGGGGTTTTGTCAAAAAATAGAGAGATGTGAGATATAGGGTTTTGAAGTTCAAAATTGATGAGAATATTGTCAATTTCTAGCTAAACTCCAAATGCGTTTGCTTAAGAATAATTTGGTGATATCACCGATTTGAGAGCTTCATTTTGTCTCCTTCCCCCCATTCCCCCTTTCATTTTAACTCAATCATGCCTATTTTATCTATTCATTGTCAGTTCACTATAATTGCCCTTTCCTCCATGGCTGCTCACCTTGACCTTCTCTTTCAATACTCTTCTTCTTCATTTCTTCCTCTTTCTCAAATTACTCGACACGGGCTGACTCCGAACAGTTTAAGCCCTATGCAAACGCCGGACGTTGTCGACGACGATGACTCGTGGGAAGTCAGGGCTTTCGCTGAGGACACCGCTGATGTCATGGGAACTACTTGGCCTCCTAGGTCTTACACTTGCACTTTTTGTAGAAGAGAGTTCAGGTCTGCTCAAGCCCTAGGTGGTCATATGAATGTTCACCGTCGCGATCGTGCTCGGCTCCATCAAGCCCCGTCGAACGCAATCAAACCCTTTTCCTCCTCCTCCTCCTCTTCTTCTTCTTCTTCTTCTTTGACCTCAAATTCTTTCATCATCCCGGCTCATGATTTTAATGGTGGAGGGTTGTGTGTTCTCTACCCATTCCCAAACCCTTACAACATTCGCTCACCCTCTTCTCTTTTCTCTATGTCCCATCATTCCTTCAACAACTTCATGCCCTCTACCTCGGCCTTTCCGATTCGTAATCACCGTGCCGGAGCGAGTAGTTTCCCTCAATCCTTGAGTGATGAACAAGCCATGGAAAGTAGCAACCAAGAGGTTGATCTAGAGCTCAGGCTTGGACAAGCTCCTTCAACTCAAACTCTCATGGAAAAGGGACACAAAATCTCTAATTTTGAAGCTGCGTGTCTGAGGAAGAGATCATCAGATTGATCAATTTGTAAGCCAATTTCTTTTTCTTTTTCTTTTTCTTTTTCTTTTCTTTTGGGGGGTTAAGTTTTTCCTGTTTGGGATTGAAATAAAATTCAAAAAAATAAAAAAAAATAAATAAATAAAGGAGGGGATTTTAATTCTGGAAGAATCTTATTGGGAAGAAAAAGAAAAATTAGGGTTTTGAGGTAAGGGACTGAACAAGAAAGTGTGCAGTGGAATGTCTTTTTCTAGGTTACAGATTTCAAGGTAAAAGTAAGCATCCTGAGCCTACATTTCCGTGGGGATTATTACTTCCATCATCCATGGCTTTTGTTTTATTTTCTTGTTTCTATTTTTTTATAATCAACATCATTCAATGAACCAATTAAGAAGCTCATCTTTAGGATCACTGTCTCAAACTGTGTTTTGAATTTGGAATTTTAGTTACATGAATTGGGTGTTTCTGTTTTACTCATCCATTTGGTTGGATTATGTGCAGAATTTGATCCCTTTTTGTTTTGGTTCTTAAATCAAGGGTTTAAGAACATTACATCATCTTCTTACTTTCAGATCAATATCAATTACTTGGTTTCAAGTTTCATGAATATAGCTCAAACATTAGATTACTTAGTTGAGGATATGTATAGTTCTTTGATGAAACCCTTTTGATAAGAAGAGCTAACTAAGAGTCTTGTAATCTTAGCCTTATGGAATGTGTACTCAAAATCTTGAGCCTAAGTTAAGTGGAAGAAACCATTGGAGAAGGATGTTGTATTTCTGTAAAGATTATTGGATGAGATCGCTCCGATGTGATTGGTTTTGTAATAACCATTCGATATGGATTCAAAAATTTGTATGTCTTATAATAACCACTAAATGCAGATTTGATATGCATTTTGTGATATCTCACGTTGGTTGGAGAGGAAAACGAAACATTACTTATAAAAAGATGTGGAAACTTCTCCTTAACATACGCGCTTTAAAATCGTGAGGCTGACAACGATACATAATGGATTAAAACAGACAACATCTTATAGCAGTAGACTTGGGCCGTTATAAATGTTATCAGAGTCAAACCCCTACAGAGAAGTGAGACAGCGAGGACATTGGCCCCGAAAAGGAAAACGAAACATTTCTGATAAGGATGTGGAAACCTCTCTCTAAAAGATGTGTTTTAAAACCATAAGGCTGATGGTGATATATAATAGGCTAAAACAAACAATATCTAATATGAATGAGCTTGAGCGGTTACAAATGATATCAAAGACAAATACTAGGTAGTGTGCCATCAAGGACGTGACACCTAAAGGGAGTGGATTGTGAGATCCCGAAACATTTCTTCTAACGATGTGGAAAACTCTTCATGACAGACACGTTTGAAAACTATGAGAGTAACGACAAAATTGGCTTGTTACACATGTATTGTTTCTCACCCTTAAGCAAGTAGATGGTCAGTCACATTCATAGATCTCATTGAAATAATTTGATGTATTATGGTCAGGATAATTAAAAAAAAAAAAAAAAATTGAATGTTAGAGGTAGTAAAAGAGAAGCAAGCAGGATAATTTGTGTTAAAAATGACTACAAACAGTGTACAAAATCTGTGTGTATGTATATATAGATCTGCTGTTATATAGCAGTATATGCAATTGATGAACACTTTAAAGAACTCCTTTTTAGTGTTAATATTACCAAAAAAAAAGACCCAAGTTTTGATTAAAATTTAATGAGATGATGAACATAAAGCATGATTGAGCAAGAAAAAAGGAAGAGAGAGAGAGAGAGAGACAGAGAAAGTACTAAACATAGCAGAGAAAGGAAAGGAAAGGAAGGCATGATAATACGAAATGGCACACGAGTGGAGAAAAAGAAAGACATAATTGGGGGTAAAAACAAGAAGGAAAAGAGGAGTTTTGTGCAGAATGTGTTGTGAGAAGTGTCGCTTTTAGAAAAGCAGAGATTTGTGGGGCGAAAAATAGAGAGCATACACCATGCACAAGGCGATGAAGCGATAAGGAAGAAGAAAAAATGATTACTGATTTTGGGTAACTTGGGAATTCGCGCCCCTCCCCCCTCCCATGCACTGACCACGACTTAACCTCAAACCCACTTCCCACACGCTTTCCCTTCCACCTTTCCCACTCCCGAATCTTTTTATAAATGATATCAGAGTTGGACATTAAATGGTGTGCAAGCGAAGACGTGAATTGCTAGATTACATAATGATTAAAGAAGAAAATAAAACAGACTATATCTACTGGCGATGGGTGGTGGGTTTGAGTTGTTCCATGATTTCAAACTCGAATAATTTGTATACCCCATTAGCAAGGGGAATCACGTAAAAGATCATCCAACCCCAAACTTGTCGACCTCACAAGTCCTACAAAACTCGAACTTATGGAAACGGTTAAAAAGGTTGAAAAAGAGAGGGAGTGGGGATGGATGGATGGAAGGAAGGAAGTAAATTAGGGTTGGGAGAAGAAAGAGAGGGGAAATGTGGGGGTAAAAAGAGAGGGAGGGGGACCAAAAGGAAAAGGAAGTTGTAATAACATTGAGACAGTGCAGAGCAGTGGTTCGGTTCGCTTCGGTTCAGTTAGGTTCGGTGTAAGCAGCGAGAAATTAAAAAGGGGTCATAACTCTATTTGGGGAAATGCATTCAATTTTAGGTTTAGGAATTTTCATGGGCTCCATCATACCTCATCAAACTCAGTACTTTCCCATATCTTTTTTTTAGCCTTTTGTTCAGTGGTCAAGTTATTAGCGCATTTAATCCACTGAATTTACCCTTTTTTTTTATTTTTTTTTTAATTTTATAGTAATAAGAAAAGGGAATAAAAACAAAGGTTTACTGGTTGGTGTACGGTGAAAATGGGGGAGCAAGTGGCCTCTCAGTTACATATCAGAAAGAGTGGTCCAAAACTTGATTAAAATCATTGCCTTTATTTTAACCCATATCAATCAGATTCCAGAAGAGTAGAGCAAAGAAAAGGCCATCCTCTAACCAAAGCCCACCACTCCAATTTGTCTGGACATTCGTTATGGTCGTGGGCGTACGCATCCGTTTTATGGTCCATTCAGATAGGCCCGCCAGCTGCATGCTCCTACCGCCTCAACCTCCCAACGCCAACGCTCAGCTTCCAACATATCCGCCTCAACCTCGCCATTGCCCACCTTGCAACATATCCACGTCAACCTCCCACCGTTTTAAAAGAGTCCGTGTCAACACATTACCCAATGTCTGTCTCTCCGACGTGGGATTTCGTAATCTTCTCTTATTAGCGCTAGCATTCTTGTTGCCACTCTGTGAACCTATCTGTAATAACTCATTCGTTAGCAAAGAGATTGCTAATTTCTGCTTGGGCTTAACAAGAAGGAAAAGAAAGGATAAGATTTTATTTTTAATTTAATTTATTTGTCATGTGAAACACTTTGGTTTAATATATATAATGTATTTAGTTTTAGAATTTCTCAAAATATTTTGGAACTTTGTTACTTTCCCAACTCCAATATATAATGTAATCTATTTAATTTTTTTTTTTCTATTTCTCCAATTTTATTTCTTTTAACTCATCAAAATCACATCGTATAATAAAGAATAATAGGATGAACATAGATGCATTGAAAATCGGTACGAAAATGTTGAATCGTGAATGGTTTTAAGTATGAACATAAATTTCCAAATCCCAAAACGATTCGTCACATGTTTCATATCTATATGTATATCTTATTTGTCTTCTTCTCATCTTTCTTTTATTCCTTATCTAACATTATTTTTTTTATTTGTCTTCACTCACATGTATTTTAAGAGACTCCCAAAAAGTCACCCAACAACTTTAACTTTGAAGTTCTTAGTGATTGAACCACAAAAAAGGAAGGTGGATAGTAACATTCAATTATTTTAAACATTTTTTTTTTCATATTTGATTTCAGTTCATTTATGTACTTCTCATTTATTTAAATGACACAATTTGTGAGATTAAACAAAATTAAAAACTATATCGAAACCTCTAGATCTGTAACGTTGTGTTTTATTTTTGAAGGGCTAATAACTCTGACGGTCGAGTGAACCCCACAAATAATTGAATTAAAAAAGGACCATTTTGTGGCACGTTACATTGTCACCAATTTTTTTTTCTCTTTCCATCCTTACAATAGAATAAGCTAAAGGTTATCACAAATGAAAAAGACAAAAGCAGTCGATTTGTAAGATAAAGATTTACATTAAATAAGGATATTGTATTTGTGGCACGTTTTCCTTTCATTTGAATTTTATCGAAGACTCCAAATCCAAGTTGCTATTGTAACTTTACGATCACTATTTGGCCTATGCACACGATGCTTCTCAACGTGGAACCTTAATTACGTCTCTTATTTTTTATAGTTAAATTTACAAATTTAATTTTACTTACCGTCATCGAGAAATCAAAATAAACTTCATAAATGGCGAAAAAATGGAGAAAGCACTTTTGAGATAAGGTAACTAAACATGAATAAAATGGGTCTCTTGAAAAATATACGTTATCAAATTACAATATTAGTAAATTTTATCATAATTTTTAAATTTTAATTTTCTCTGAATTTAAAATTAAAGATAGAGGTTCCTTTTATAAAAAATATTCTTAAAAATATAATAATTAGATGTTAAAAATAGATAAAAAGAACAAAATAGGAATGACGTGTAAAATAAAAATGTAATAATATATATGTTTTTTCGTTTATATATTTCACGAATAAATATTCTTAAGATAAACGTTTTAAAACTATGTGTAGTAGGTCAATAACGGAATTGCTTTATTTTTTTAATATTTAATAAAAATAATTTAATATAAATATGTAGTATTTGCTTTATATAATTTCTTCCCGACATTCCTTTCTTCACAATAGGTAAGGACATTTTTCTTTAAATTCCAGCCAAATTAAATTAATTCAAAACATCATATGATTTAGTTGTTATTTTGGTCCTCATTTATTATTATTATTATCGTCTTTTTATAAGAATTTACAAAAAGTTATGTTGAGATGATGTGAAGGAATGAATCTCGTAAAAAAAAAAAAAAAAAAAGATTTTATGGTCGGAATTGTTTTTACGTTTATATTATTTTTTGTGAATAAAATTTTAAATATTTTATTTTAATTTCAAAAATATTGGTATTGATTTTTAAATAATAATAAAAAATAATTAATAAAGTCACATGTCAAAATAACAATAATAACAATGGGATCGGGTATTATCCCTCCCTTGCGTTCTGTTTTTCAGAAGAAATCGTAGTCGATACGTCTCCTTGTTGGCCTATAAATACTCCAAAAAAACGTAAACGATTCTGTGTGCAAATCTTTATTGTTTGAAAAGAATCACAGCCATGGGTTCCAATGCATCCGTCAAAGACATTCTGGGTGAGCTCGAGAAGGGAAGCTACATTTCTCTACTCTCCAATCTAATCAGCGAGTCCCAGCACGTCCAGAACAACCCACCAGACCTCGTTCCCAAAGAGGATTTGGTTGGCGCTCACGTCCGTGAAGTTCTCGATCCATACAGCACTGAAAATGGTGGACCCTTGATCATTAAACAAGTCAGCTACACTCCCGGCCGTGGACATTTGATCATTCGCTACCCTGGCGCCGACTCTGCCAAAGTAGTCTCCTTCGTTGGGAGTCACATGGATGTCGTCCCTGCCGATCCCAGCGCTTGGGTATTCATTCTCCTCGTGCTTTTTTTCTTCATTCTCCATGTCTCCATTTGTTTTAACTATAACCCATTTGTTTATACATACAGACATTTGACCCTTTCTCGTTGAGTATCTCTGGAGATCAACTTCGTGGCCGTGGGACTACTGACTGCCTCGGACATGTTGCCCTGTTAACTGAACTTCTGAAGAAACTTGCACAAACTAAATTAAAGCTCAAGAACTCTGTTGTTGTTATATTCATTGTGTCTGAAGAGAACAGTTCAATCCCAGGGATTGGAGTAGAACAACTCTGGAAAGATGGGTACTTCGATGATTTAAAAGGAGGACCTCTGTAAGTCATTGCTCTTCGAAGACACTCTTTTTTTTTTTTTTTTTTTTTTTTT